CCCACCCCCACAAGCCCAGCCAGGGCGTGGGCAGGCGGGGACCCAGAAACCCCCCGCCCCTCCCTCAGCAACCCATCCCGGTGGTTCTCCCCTCCCCTCCCCCGGGTACGCACTGTGAATGACATTGGAGGCATAGAATTCAGGGTCCTGCGGGTTCACGGTGGCTGCCTCTGTGCAGAATCGCTGGATATTTTCTGCCAGGTACCAGCTCTGGTTTTCATCAAAGACTGAAAACATCACGACCCTCGTCTCATCCGACATCATCTGGGAAGCAGAGAGGAAGGGGGTCATCCATCGCCTGGGGTGGGAACTGACCCTCAGAGTCACAGCCCCCGGCCGGGCAGGATGAGCAGTGCCGCCTCACCCCACAGCGCACCGCAGCCTGCTTGCTACTGGTCTCAGGGCCTCTGCTGGGATGGCCAGGCCACTCTCACTGGTGCCGGGGCGACAGAAGGGCCCATCAGGAAAGGGAACTGCTGGCTGCTGGCTCTCCCAACCCTGCCCGACCCCTGACCCAGCCTCGAGCGTGCATCGTTCCCCTCTGGACGCCCAGAGAGCTCCAGCCACTGCCCTGCCTCCTTGCCAGAGAGGCTGTGAAGGCCAGGACCGTCGCAGGGTTCAGGCAAGAGCCTGAGGTCAGGTCCGTCAGCAGCTGAGCCAGGATGGGCAGGGAGGGTGGCCCTGGCCTGTGTGTGTCAGGGCTGGGAATGGGTGACGGGGAGGGGTCACGTGGTGATTCCCTGCTCGGTTCCCTCCCTCGGGGGCACCTGGCGCTGGCCGCTGGTGGGCCCTGGGCTAGTTGGAGCCGAGGGGTGACCCAGGACGGCCAGCAACTCCGTTGTCATGTGCACACCTGGCGGCGCTCTGGCCTGCCCTTGGCTGCTCTGCCTGCCCAGCGCTCTGAGCCGGCTGAGGCAGCTCTGCTGGTATCTGGCGCATGCTGCTGCCAAACTCCAGCCCAGAGCCCAGGCACATAGGCGCCGGCCAGGGGAGGGGAGGTCAGGGACGGCCAGCTCCAGACTGAAGCGCGGCAGCCCGGCTGAGCACATCTGAGCACCGAGCTGCTCTGCGCTCATGCGCCAAGCAGGGCTGGGGGCCTCTCTGGAGCAGGCTGACGCCTGCCTCATCCGGAGAAGTGCTGCGGAAAATTGTTTTCAATAAAATTCAGAAATGCTTCAATATTCATTATTGTTCTTTGTTAAATCGTAAAATGCGATTGTCATGGAATTTTCTCGCGGAACCTGGGTTCTGCGGAAAACCATTTGGGAAACACGGCTCTAGACGGTGCGGGGTCCCGCCGCTCGAGGGCCCTTCCAGCTCCAGGGTGCTATGAGCTGAGGGTGCCCCTTAGAAACTGAAGTTATCCATCGTACGGATACGTGACCATGCACCTGAAAGCAGAACCAGCTGTCTGCACCGAAATGCAGGGGCCAGACTTGGGTGTGGTTGGTTCTGATGAATGCTGGTGGCATGGAAATTACCTGCAGCTCTTTAGCTAAGCAAACCTGCCACGTGGATCAGTGGGAGACGTGCCTCTGTCGGGGCTTTGGGGTCTGCGATGCACACTCACAAGGGGCATGTGCAAGCGCTGTCCTGCGGCACACGGCAAAGGCCAGGGATCCCTGCACCTTCCGGCCACGCCTCTGCAATGGCAGGTGGGTCACTGACAGGGAAGCGCTCACCTGATTCCCTCTCTGATCCATCGATTTTTTAGAGCAGAGCAAGAGGGGCCCGACCAGCCCCGAGGCCGTGTCTCGGACGGGGCTGACGGAGCTGTAGTAGAAACGGGACAGGCAGCGAGGATCCGAGCCAGTCGGCCCATCCTCAGTCGTCACTCTCCAGCTGTACGTGAACGTCTGGCCGGGCTCAACAGGTGTATCCTTCACGCCGAGGCCTGGGAACACAAACCCCAGAGCAATTCATGAGGTGTGGGCACACGGTGGGGCGGTCCCATGGGTTACATGGTCTGGAGGAGGGAAGGGACCCAGTGACAGGTGTGGGCACACGGCGGGGCGGTCCCATGGGTTACATGGTCTGGAGGAGGGAAGGGACCCAGTGGCAGGTGTGGGCACACGGCGGGGCGGTCCCATGGGTTACATGGTCTGGAGGAGGGAAGGGACCCAGTGACAGGTGTGGGCACACGGTGGGGCGGTCCCATGGGTTACATGGTCTGGAGGAGGGGAGGGACCCAGTGGCAGGTGTGGGCACACGGCAGGGCGGTCCCATGGGTTACATGGTCTGGAGGGGGGGAGGGACC